TAAATATTGAAGTATATATTATATAAAAATAAATAAGATATAATAAAACCAAATTATGTATCCGTATTAAAAGTGTGTAGACATTGTCTCATCGTCTCCTGTTATGCTTCGCCACTGGTGTGTTATATATATATGTTATATATTTTTAAATTTCCTCATATCGTTTCATTTTTAAACATTTATAAAATACTCTTAAATATTATAACTAACCATAAAACACTATTAAATAAATATATATATATATTCATCAAACTCTATATACCTACTTATTTTTTAAATCTTTTTTCATTTTATCGGTGGGATATATTTAAATAATAGCTACAATATTAAGCAAAGTTTGTTTTATTCACCTCGACAATTATATTTGATTATATAAAGTAATCGAGCAGCTTAAAATTATGAGCTTCAACGTTTGGTGTAGTCTACAAGAGTATCAATAATTTATTATATAATTATTATATTTTATTCAATAAACAGTTATAAATATTAATTTGTATTACTTTATACATCGATTAACACGGCAAATCAACTATATATAATGTATACATCATTGATAGTTGATCGATAACAGTATCAAAAAAAAAAAAAAAAAAAAAACCATTAAATATTATACTATAATTTTTATAGTATAATATTTAATAATTTTTTTAACCTCTCAAATAAATCAGTTAACTTTGGTGTATTAATTTAGAAAATGACATAAATCAGCTAAAATTATATACAATTTATCTATTCAACTTTTTTAGTTAGTTTTTAGTACCTAAACACAAATTCGATAATCATACAACTCTTTGGCATTAAAGTTATTTTAATACATTTATTATAGTAATTTTTTGAGATATTTTTTTTATCATTGTAAAGTTAATTATTTGATATAACAGTATAACTTTACGTTATACATAATATAACCCAATCGTCCAGAAAATTTGGAAGTTATTAGATTACGGCTGGAACGGTGTATGACAACGATCAAAGATAACACTTGATACTTCAGCAAACATTAATTTACTTGCATATTATCGTTTATTAAATTAGTTTCACATACTCATATAATTGTCACAATTCGTCATCAAACATAAACCGTACAACAATATTGGCATCTTACAAACTTTCTAGACACGCTCTTTAGGTGGCTGAGTACTTGATAAGTGAAACCCTAAATTTTTGTTGGTAAAAGACTATGTATACTTAATAGTTATGTACATTTTAAATTGGTGGCACAAAAAAAAAGCAAAAACACTCATGATAAAATTAGCCGTAAACGAGATAATGCCAATGGATGAGTCTTATCAGCTATTCAAACATGTGCACAGTGATTTATACTGCAATTTTAGGCAGAGAAAAGTATTATTTTAAAATATTTTTAGAAAGGTTGAGAGTATTGTTGTATGCACCTTATCAAATATAAATACAGTACACAATATAATTAATTAACCCGTATGAACTGTAATAACAATCTGATTACCTGAGTAGTTTGATTTTATATCATTACCTGTTCGACCGTTCAATGTGTATTTCAAACAATTTTTGTGATTACAATATTAAGTATTTTCACGATTTTTTTTTTTTTTTTTACAATGAAAGTCGACACAAAAGGTAAGTTAAATATTAAATGATTAACACATTTTTTAATTTATTGATAGGTTCAATAGACTAAATCAAATTGGTAAATTTCAATGGAAGGTATTTTAAAAGTTACTAATAGTAACTATTCACAAGTTATCTTCTCTTATAGTACAACTTACTATAGATTCAATGGTCTAACTTTCATTTACAGCCACTTGCAACTGTAGTCTTTATTTTTATTTTTACAGCTTGTTCTAGTGTAGAGAGAAAATTCGAAAATTACACATATGAAGATTTCTTTAAATGTTTGCATGATAAAGGCCCTTTAAAGCCTCAAAAAATTAAATCCCGGCTATTTATTTTAAATTTATTAAAAAATAAATATAATGGAGAACTTTGAACAGTATGTATAAAAAACTTGTGATGAAAAAAAATTCGTAGTTTTGCAGTAGTTTTGACAAGATTGTGGCCTAAAAGTGCTAGAAAGTTGAATAATTTATACAAAAAATAATAAACAGTGGCTTGAAACGGAATTTATAATGCTAAATATTCAACCCTCAGTTCCTTTTACTTCATGTTTATTAGTTGGCCAACCACCTAAGTCATTCGCTGAATGTACTAAAAGATCGAAAAATCGAAAAATCGAAAAATTAAAGGTTTTTATTAAAATCATATTCTTCCCCAGAAATAGTTTATGCTACTCAGAGTACATTAAAAAAAATCGGGTTAGAGAAACACTGCCATGTTATTAAAATAATCTTTAATTACACCAACTAGATCAACAAAAATGAAAAAAGCTTAATTAAGTTTTCTATCGATAGGAATAAGATCCTACACAGCAGATGAGGCATTAACTTTTATCTTAGATAATAAATTGACAAAACAGCAGTACATAAACATAAGGAAACCGGCAATGTTACGAAAAGCCAATATATATTCAAGTTATGAAAAATTTTAGATTCATAAAAAAATGTTACCCCAATAATATAAATATAACTGAAATGTTTTACAAGATTCCAATTCAGAATCTTCTTGACCACACATGCATCCGAATATTTCAAATCGAAAATGTACTACCTATGGAACAGGGTTTGTTTGATTTTGAATTAATTTATAAATGGGGATGTGATGGAAGTAACGGGCAATCACGATACAAATATCGGTTTTCAACGTCAACAAATTCAAATGACAGCGACTTATTTATATTCTCCTTGGCGCCATTACAACAACTCCGATGTTCCATCTATAGTTCCGAAAATAAAAAAATTCTGTGAAAAAATCCTCGAACTTCTTTTACGAGATACTATCGAACAATAAAGTGTGAGTATAAAAAAAAAACTGCGCAGTCTACCGTTCAAGAAATCGAGGAAGTAAATAATGAAATATCATTGATAGATAATATCGTCCTTATTAAGTTGAAATATAATGATTTTGAAATAGAAGTTCGACACACACTTATTTTTTCGATGATTGATGGCAAGGTATAAAAAACATGTATAGTTTTATATAGTTTATATTATTAAACAATCATTTAAATAAAAATTTTAAGTATCTTATATTTTATAGGTTTGTAATTCTATGTCAAATACATCTAGTCAGGTTTGCTATATATGCAAATGCAGTCCTAAAGGCAAGAATAACATAGAAAAATGTAGAAAAAGAGAGAATGCACAAGACATTTTTTATAATATTGGACTTTCAACACTTCATGCCTGGATCCGATTTTTTGAACGTTTAATACACTTTGCCTATCGATTAGAGTTTAAACAATGGCAGGTATGTACAAAAGTGTATACTGTTTTTCTTTTAGTTCTAATACCGATAATAACGAATATATGTTTTATTTTTCAGGTTAGAACACTTGAACAAAAATTAAGTTTTTCCAAACAAAAAAAAAGATATTCAAGTTCGTTTTCGAATAGAAACCGGATCACTGGTAGATGTTTTTCTACAAAGTATAAGGTAAAAAGTCGAAATTATTTTAGTAAATTATATTTTATGTATTTATATTTATAATTTATACATTATAGTATTTTACACTCAATATTTATAAACAAAAAAATATTAAATATTAAAATATAATACAAATTGTTACCAAGATAATTTTTTTAAATACATCTTCAATACATTTGTACATTTATAAAATAGATAGTGGAACTACGAATGACGGAAACACTGCACGCCGATTTTTTAAAAATGCAGAATAATCAGCTGATATAACAGGATTAGACTTAGAAATTATAAAGCGATTTGATGTTATATTGAGAGCACTTGCAAGTGGATACGAAATTAATGTGGATGAATTCGAAATGTATGCTTTTAAAACTGCAGAACTGTTCATTTCGTTGTATCCATGGTATTACATGCCAGCGCGCATAAAATTTTGATTCATGGAGCTGATGTGATAAGCAATTCACTGGTACCTTTAGGTAATCACTAACCATGAATATTAAATTGTGTATGTATTGAATTCTAATTTATTTTTCATATGTCAGTTGTCAGAAGAAGTCCATGAGTCTAGAAATAAAGATTTTAAAAGAATTAGTGAGCATAATACTAGAAAAATATCAAGAACATGTTAAAATGAAAACTTGATTCATATGTTACTGATTTCATCCGATCTTTATATTTCAAGCTTACGATCAATTCCAGCCAAAAAAAATTGTTGAATTTGATTAAGCCGTTAAAAAAATAATCATTTATGTTAGATCCGATATTAATTGTAATACGAGTAGTTCAGACTCTGAATAAGATTATTTTGTTAAATATTATTATTTAATTTAATTTTTATAATCGCATTTGTAATTAAAAATCACATTTAATATATAGATTAATCATCTATAATATTGCATTTAAAAATATTCCAACTCCAAAAATAATGTATTAATAATTAAATTCAATATCATTATTAGCCACCATAAAAAAAAACCACCCATGATTATAAGTATTCAGAATAAATAATTGTAAAATAATAATTTAAATAATTAAATTATTTTTTAATAATAATTAATTATAATAATAATTAAATTATTATAAAATAAAAAAAAAAGTAATTTCTTTAATTCTAATTGTTAATTAGTAAATTAAAAAATTAAAAATTAAATTAAATTTTAAATTAATTGTTAATTTAATTATACTAAGTAACATTAACTAAACGACATTAGGAAAACATATTGTAAATAAAATAATTTTGTCCGCCTAAAATTGCACTTCAGACCACTGTGAGATGTATAAAATATGACATTAACCATTGTATCTATTATATATCATACATAAACTTTATTCCTATTATTAAATATATTGATTTTATGTTTCACGATTATGATTGCAAATAAAAAAAATGCACAGCTTCATTTAGAAAATCGATGTTATAAATAAAGCATAAATCAGTTCACAGAGAATATTAATTAACAAGATGAATAACTAACGTTTACCTCAAAACTCATTAGATAACCAGCCGTTCAAACTAGCCAAATCACGAAATACATGACTATTGCGACTTTATATATACTATTTATTTGATCGGAACGATGTATACTGGTGTATAAGGTGTATACTGAATTGAAATAGACTGAGTTACATGCATAGATCAACGAGTGGGTGAGAGGTACCAATTACACTTATCAATATAAAATATGAGAAAAAAAATGTTAGGGTCATTCGGAGAGTTTAGACGTAAATGAAATACTACATATTATGGTCGATTGTCTTATATGAAAAGTAAGCCAAAAACATAGATGCGCACGTTTATTGTTTAACGTTTGAGAAGAAATTAGTCCTACCAAATATTCACAAGGTATTATTGTAATACATCATTAACAAACCGTTACCACAAATTGACGTGTTATTGTATTTGTGTTTCATTGTACTTTTGTTTTCAACAATTACCAATAAAACTGGAGTATACTAAATGCTAGTATTTTTCAACGGCACTTTTTATTTAATTCAAATGAATATAGGCACCACAAAAAATACCTATAATATATATAATGAGGAAATAGCATATCACACCTATGATATAAGTGTACAGGAATTTTTTTTTTGTAATTAAATTATTATGATTACAAAACCCACTTTTGTCTTTTTTGTATATCTTATACTGTTAACTGTTCTAACTGTTTTTTAATCTGAAAATTACATACATTTAAACATACGAGTATATTAGATGGAATTAAATCAACGCACATAAATCATGGAAAGTAATTGCTTAAAATATGTAATTTATAGTCTTTTCTGTAGTGGACATAATATAAATTGCAGCATAATAGGGTTCGGGCTTGATTGCACTGAAAAATATTAAATTAATATTTGTCTCTACTTTTATAAAGTATGTGCTTGAACTCTGGTAAAATCTAGTTTTTATATATTAGAGAGACAGAATTTAGTTAAAATATTAAAAATAAAAGTAATGTAACTTGTTAAATTATCGAAAGCGTTTAATAACACTCATATTTTTCAAACAAACATAAACTGCAAATATTTATGAGCTATAAAATGTTGATTAGTTTTATCACGTTTAAAGTATAAATATTATATTTATTTTGTTTATAATATTATGTTTAAAGTTGGCTATTAAAAAAAATGAGTCTGGACCAAAGAAAATCATCATTAGAGATTAATCATTGAAGTTCAAAATAAATATTTTATTCTATAAATTTACCGAACACAAACTTAAAACAAAATTTTATAAACATATTGAATTTATTCACGTAAGAATTGAAATGCATAATATATTTTTATACATTACCTATGAGGATAAAGTAGTAGTAAATTGTAAGACACATAATTATATCACACTTAAATCGAATACTTCAAAAAATTATATGGAATGTATTAAAAATTATAATTTATAGCATATTACCATGCATAAAATGTAGTTTAAGGATTTAAAATTAATTTAATCGTCGGAACACAGACAATAATCAATAGGTTATTAATTTAATTTAAAATGGTTTACAAATAAGAGAATTAGATAATTTTAGTTAGTTAGAAACTGTAATCGTAATATATTTGTGTATACATAATTGATAAAAAAAAAAAAAATCATTAAAAAAGTATTTTTATCATTTTAAGTATTTTACCACGTAATTATTATTTTACTGATCGAAAAATTAAAACACCATAGAAATATTATAGATATATTATACACACTAAATAACAGTCGATTTTATATGACTCAAATGTATAGATTTTGAAGAAATTTCTTTAATTGTTGTATGAATATATTATAATGTACTCGTAATAAGACTTTTGTAGTGAAACATTAACCAGAAATAACACCACATTTATTTAAGCATCAGAAAACACAAATTTACACATATCACGTTTTATTATGTATAAAAAAAATCTCAAAAATCTCAAAATTATTTAAGGGTGACACAATTTGAGTGTTATTATTATATAATAGTATTATATTTGTTATTTCTTTGGAAAACACTTGTAGTGGATAACAAACGTCGATACTGTCGATATTTCGTGTTAATATAAGATATAGTAGAATCGTGTCGACAGCATAATGCGTGTTATCACGTTAATAATTTATTAAAGTTATCATACGATATTTTTATAATTATTTTAATAATACTGGCTAAATGGCTACAAATGAGTTGTATCCCAAATACAGAGTTATATCCGGTGGATTTTTTTCGGGTTACACGAGTTGTGTCCCGAAGAATTAAATATACAGGTACCTAGATAAGTTGTATACACAAATTGATGTATTTTTCAACTACAATACTACACATATAATATGTATATAACATTGTACACAGAATAAAATTGTTCCGTTATATTAATTTATAATAATAGTTATAGTATCTGTATATAATAAAAATAATAATTGTAAGTATCTGCGAAAATAATAATATCTAAAAAAGTATGAATTTGTAAACAATAATGATCAATGTTGTTACCAATGTCGTATTAGGGCATTCTAATGATATTTTAATTTTATTTATTTAAATTAATTATATGATTTTAATTTATCTACAACCTAAATCGGTAATTATTAAAATCAACATACTGAACAAGATAAAATATTCCTTAGATAACCAAAATATGTGGAAATATGTGTAAGTATTCCGCCCGGAATTGTATCGACCATTAAAAATGCGATTTTTTAAAAATCTCTTTTTATTGCGCACGTAGAGTGTTTAATTGAAATCACTACATCAAATTTCAAGTTAATACGTTCTGTCGTTTTTCAGACGTAACGAACGTGAGTGAATGATATTTTAATTCTATATAAACATGGATTGCGATACTTGCAGCGTTGATATTTTTGTGTTACTTCGATGCGTTATCGAATTTGGTCGAGATTTGTCGAATAACGGCGCGCGTTTTTACACGGGAACGCGTATTTACGTCCCCGCAAAAGCACGGTCATTAACTGCTCGTATTATTTATTCGATTATTATACGAAATGCCGTGTTTTAATTACACGCCGATGCGACGGGCCTTGTTCTTATTGTAATTACTATTGTTACCGTCACGAGCGGTGTCCGCCCGCCGTCGCGGTAAAAGCTCGTCGTCGTTGTCTTGGTAACAATAGACCAAAACACGCGAAACTCGGCACGCGCGTGACCCTTAAAAAAACGGAATTTTCGACGGATCCTACGTCCAATTTAACGTACGGGGTCGTTCGAGAAAACGGGAACGTTTGGTACAACTCTTTCGCAAGAAGGAAGAAAGATGATCCGTAGAAAAGAAATGTACTTAGTTTTGTTATTGAAAATACTCTCCACGTTGTAACCCGTTACGAAGAGTAAAGGTTTTTTTTTTTAAATTTATGTCTGCGTGATGGTGTATTTGTTCGTTTAATATTTATGTATTTGTATGTAGCCCATTTGTTGTAGCTCCTATTAGTGAATTTTCTGAAATCAATTAATGCTGACGTTGTGAATCTCGCTCCTTCCAAAACCTCCAAAATCGAATTGTGCAATAACTGAAGCCATCGGACCACCGAACAGCAGTTTGATGAGAAAACGATGGAAAACATAATTAACGTCCGTATTTTTGTTGACGACTCGCTATGTCTGGAATATAGACGTACAAATGGACATCACCTTAACGATATTCATTTTAAGTCATGATATTTTTAACCTTAAGGCCCTTAACGGCAAATAGTTAATACATTGCTTTTATAATAGTCTATTATAAAATCAATGGTTTAGATGTTTTCGATAAAAAAAAAAGTTATAAATATTGTTCCAAATTTACACTTACCATAAATTGTTTAAATATATACACATACTTACAAATGATTTATTAATACATTTATATATTGCAATAAAACTGTAAAGATTAACCAAACATTTTTCACATAATGTATGTCTGCATCAATTAAATTTAAAAATTTAAATATTTAATTTTCTGCCTATTTCCGTTTTCACCAAATTATGTTTATGCTTACATCAAACTACTATTATTTACAAAACCATCTTAGGGTCAATGGGTTAGAGGCATGATATTTTTAACCTAAGTGTTTTGAATGGCACATAACGTAGATTGTTAACAACGAAAAAAAAAAATGTTTCAAATGTCCTAGATTTTTTTTTGGAAGAGCCCAATGTATAACATCAAAGCACTGTCATCTTGACGACTGCACAGAAGACCGCAATATTGCATAACCACGGAACTATTCAAACTACAAAAGCAACCATTCGACGGCGTGCGACTTTCACATCGTCAAAAGTCATTTAATTAGAAATAAGCACTTGGCCGTCACTTTAATGTATGTTAGTGAGGAAAACGAGATACTACACTACAGCGTTTGTGATTCGTGCTACGTAGCAATATATTAAATATATAATTTCTTTTGAAATAGAAATTATCATAAAATGCTTTTGGTTTAGAAATTATGAATACTTGCATTCAGTTGTTCTGTAATATATTTATTTTTTTTATCTTCGTATAACGAATATCCTATTTTAACTGAATTATCAGTTGGTTCAAAGAGATTCCGTTATAAAGAGGCTTAACCATATTTTAATTTTCATGTAAGTTATGCATATATTTAAAGTAATACATTGAATACTCATCACCAGGGCTCATAACTTATAGCTCTAAAAAAAAAATTTTATAAGCGCTACAATATGATCTTAAACAATTTCATATAGACGCTTAAATGTGTAGAAAAAAATAAAAAATATTGTGTATAAAACAAAAATTTCCCTCGTTAAAGAAACTTATCGTGATCGCTCATATTGCTATATGATATAAATAAATATATAACTTATATCATATGCAGAAGAATTAGTTAATTAACATGAATTAATTACAAATGTAAATAATTATCACTACTAAGGTACTTAATTATCAAGCAAAAATATTTTAAAAGCTACGGAACTGAAAAAAACTTAAAATAGCATATATTTCGAAAAAATATTGCAATAATATGCAACATAAAATTTCATATTTAGCTTCTTAGTTATCTGAAATACATTTACAACTCATATAGATG